CTTGACTAGAAGGCGCTGAGAATAAACACTTTTATACACTGCCTTGCTGATACTCTTTCCATCTGTCGATCTGCCACGATGGAGTCCTATGTCAAATGCTAACCATTGCTAATGCTGAATAACTAACTATAACTTAAATACTGACTAACTCTTAGTCACAGGTAGGACTCATCAACCGCACGTAGGCTCTTGCGCGCGGATGCGACTCTTTTTCAAAATTAGAATCATTCGATTTGCTGTGACAGATGCATGCTACATCAGCAGTTTCACTACCATTTCACCATATAATTGGCTTTAGATCTTAACATAAATCTGGTTCCCTTCCTGATGTGTTTGCTGCTTATCGCGCTTTCCATTTTCGCATTGGATCATGAGACACCCAGAAGTTCGTTATCATGCACCGGTCAACTTCATATCAGTTTGAGTGCAATTTTTTGTCAGAGGAGAGACGCGCTTGAGGGAATGATAGGAGAATGAGAATGTTCCTTCGATAGCAGATCAAACGCGTGAATCGATCCTCGCCGTCTGAAGCTGCTAAGAGCCAGAAAACAAAGACTGGCATACGGACTAATTAGACTTTAATTTAAATCAATTTGACAGTGAGTTTGTCGCTGTTGACGAAGATGGACCTGACGTCTCAAATTACGATCGACCGTGATTCAGCATCTGCCCAAGTCATGCGATATACCAGTAACAAGAACCGCTATTATGTCATTAGTAATTACTGACCCGAATTACAATGGGGAATTAATGCTAACCAATCCTTGTGTGAGTTCGACGTTCAACGCCATCAGTAAGAAATTAGCTGATTCTGCGGTTAAAGGCACCAAAATGAATAAAAGGTTTATTTGAAGCACGACGTCGTGGACAAATTGATTTTATCTGCCTTTCGGTCTTGAATAGCCGTGATTTTCCAGCCGTGTTTTTCTACATCGCCAAAATCCTCAAAGGGTTTACTCCGCTTATAAATTATATCAACCAAAATGCCGATGTCTCAGATCGAATACAATCGATTCTTAGAGGACATTGTGAAACTAAGAATTTGAATAACAACGTCAGCCATGTCGCTGTGCTGTGGAATGATCTTAAGACGTAAATATGGTGGAATTATTAATACTTACCGTATTTCAAACTGACAAGTTTAGATTAATTTAGTCTTGATCTTACTTACCAGTTGTTTTGTTGTGTTCATCCAGATTGACAATAAATCTTTGCCACTGTGTCTGTTCTCACGTTCGCACGTTTGTGTCGAAAGCGCTTCTTTCATCTTCCTCCAACGGCAGTTTTTCTGGCACCGTACCTCCTTCATCTTCTTTAGTGAATGACATCACTTTCTTGCACCGCGTGTTTGAGAAGTGTGGAGTTTTTTGCGCATTTATTTTTTGCTCGTTTCACGCAATTGTCTTTCTACTCATTTTATGCCTCAACGTACACTAATTATTTTATCCTAATCATACAGCATTACCGACACTGAATCGGCAAGAATGTCGAAATCGGTCTCAACATGTTCAAACTTATTTTGTATAGTCTGCAGTACACAACATTCTATCACTACCTATAGACAAGTAGCTATGAAGTCATCAGTTGCTTACTCAAATCTGCGGTTGCCTTCATTAATCGTCGATCCAGTTTCAAACGTAAGACGACTGTTGCTATTTCCGCTGTTCAGCAAAGATATATAGTTAATGGAGTCAACGAGAGCAGACTTGACTTTGCCTTGTCCTTGTATACCATTCTCACTGTTGCAAGAAACTGGCTGGGCTCCAGTTCCTGACCTCGAATCCCAACTGTGGTTGTGAAGTATTCCGTCGGCATAATCTTTAAAATCCAGTGTAATATGCTAGTATGTAGCATGTAATATTGTATGTTGACCATTCAACGGCTGTTATTTCTGGTTTTGTTTTCCTTTTGTTTGAACCTTGAATCAGCTATCAGGCAGATCAAGACAAACTGCAGCTCTGAGAAGTGTTCGCGTTGAACAGCAAGACCGCACTTCACGTCATCTTGGTATGTTCACCCCAGATCACCATGGTTTACCCATCATTTGGCAATCAAGCGCTTTCTGCTTGCTACTGCTTTCTTAACTGATTGCATCGAAGCAAAGTGCAGTG